TAAATAAATGAATGAATGAATGAATGAATGAATGAATGAATGAATGAATGAATGAATATCGCTCCATAGCAGCAAAAGCACAATTGTATCTTCTTGATTGGGATGGAACATTCAAGCTGGAAGATGCAAATTAACTGCTAATTGAGAGGATTAGTTTTTGGTCCTATGAGTTGGAAGAAATGCTTTAGGATAAGAATAGACAGTTCCCAGTTCTGCCAGTCAGAGCTGTCTAGAATTCTGTGTTTGTGTGTGTGTGCAGAGTGATTTTTGTTTGTTTGCTTAAAAAAATAAATCCTTTCACCAATCTCTTTGTAAGTTGGCTGGCTGATAACAGTCATTATCAAGCAGTTTTGTTTTGCTGGAATGGAAATAAAACATTCCAGGCAGTGTTCTGTTCCAATTTCAAAATAAACATCCTTCCATTTCATATATATCTTTGTGAAGTAGAATAATCCAACAACAGATGCATCTTGCGATCTTGCTAAAGACATGTTTGCACTCATGTCTGAACTTTTTTGGGACTTTATTCTTATTATTTCTAATCTCCTAGACCTCTAGTTTTGCTCCTTTTTCCATAATAAAATGGAAAGCTATCCCACCCTCAAAAGAATAACACTACCGTTGAACAGAAAATAAGCATGTTCAAACTCCTTTATAACGCTTAAAGTGGTCACATTAACGGAAGACCAGGGTGAAGGTGTCAGAGTCACTTCTCTATAATGAGGACAATTTCATTATGGAAAAAAAAATCAATTATAACTACAGAAAGTACAAATTACAGATGTTTGAAAAAAGGAAACAGTAAATTGCATAAAACAGATCAAGTTAGCATGTCTTATGTGGCTACTGTCATTTAACAATAAAAAGAGATGATTAAAGTATAAATAACAAAATGGTAACTTTTCTACTTTCTAATGAGGTGCCAGGAGAAAAAGGCATAAATGAAAAACAAATGAAAGAAAAACAACTTGGTGGCAAGATTTTTTTTCATGCAGAGAAAAATAATAATAAAGAAAGAAAACATCTAAGTAAGTAAGGTTATTGAAGCTACTGACTCATCTAGAAAACAAAGTAATTGGATAGAGGGGAAAAGGGATTAAACAGCACAGATTTTTTTAGGAAAAGTTGCTATCTGCTTGATAAGTCAAAGGGTGAAAAAGTATTTCCTTAATGACAAAAAGATCATCTTTTATTTTCAATGTAAAGTCTATCTGAAACCTCATCTGAGTTAATTGAAGGAAGAAATGAATCCTTTGTTTGGGAAATTGGATCCTTAAGATAAGTTACATGATAACAGAAGGAGTTCAGATGGAGTGGGGAAAACAAGATTTAATAGTCTTCTGTTTTCCTACTAGGATTCACATCAGCTACATTGACTGGTATTTTACTGCTTCACCACAAATAAAACAGAAATGAGTTTATCACACATCATACCTATTTTTACAGGTCTGACGAACAGATCTTTACACACTGACATGGTTGAGAAGAGAACTGCAATGATAAATTGTTAAAACTAAGAAATCACAAATCTTTTTTGGTATTAAGTTATAAAGTAAATGTGCAGTTATATCCAAAGACCAGTTGTAGTCCTAAAAGCTTTCTTTGACATTTACTAATCAACTAAAACCCCACAAAGAGGAGGAGGAGGAGGAGGAGG